CTTTGCCTTGACTGGGACATTGCGAACGCTCTATTCTGCTGTTACTGTTATCAAGGCATGGGATCAACGATGCCTTGCTCGCCAGGCAAAAGGTTTTCGGCTGAACCCTGATGCCGCACGGGCAGTATGCCCGGCACCAGGAATAGGCTGGATTGAGGTCCCATTCACCTTTGGGACTGCAGCTATACCGGCAACCACTTGCTCGGGCTTCGTCTCGCTGGTTCCGAATGAAAACGGTAGCTGGAAAATTTGGCTCCTGAGGACGATCCTGGACCAGTTCCAGAATCTGCCCAATGTGGATGAGTTGAAGCCTGGGCCCGCACCTACAAGACACCCTCTTCATGAGGGAGCAGCCTACGAATGTGTGGTTATTGGCTGTGGACAATCGGGGTTGAGTGTAGCTGGTCGACTGCAGGCACTGGGGGCGTCTTACCTGGTGGTGGACAAGGCACCTCGCGTGGGTGACTCCTGGCTTCAGCGATATGAATCAATGAAATGTACTCCCTTACGGAATAAATACTTCCTCAAACCGCTTTATTCTCTCTTATACTGACAGAAGCAGTACATTCCGTTCGAGATGCCGCCCAGCTCCCGTTTGACCGCACCTTCACCGAGGATTATCCCGAATTTATGAGCAGGGAGGATCTGGCCCGCGGATATCAAGCCTGGGCTGAGCGTTACTGCGTCGTATGCAGCCTCGTTCAACCACTCAATACGTCCGGCTAATAAGTCTAGAACATTTCATTCTCAACGGAGCTCACCTCAGGGGCCTGGGATGACAATCAACGTAAATGGACTCTCCATCTGCGCCTGAAACAAAACGAGCAAGTGACCACCAGAACCATTACCTGTTCTCATGTCGTAATGGCCATCGGCGCTGGAGGGCAGGAGCCCGTCCGACCCACTTATCCAGGGGAGGTAAGTTAACCCTCCATTGGGCATCGTCCAAGTTAACGAGAGTTCAGGACATATTCCAAGGGGAAATCATACACACCGCTCAATACAAAAGCCCTCGCCCATGGCAGGGTAAGCATGGAGTCATCATTGGGTCCGCTAACTCTGGTATGTCTGCGTACCACGTAGAATAAGTCCAATCTGACAAAACAGCACACGACACGGCAGCAGACATGGTTGGGACAGGAATGGCCTCGATAACTATGGTCCAGCGCAGTCGGACATGTAAGGAACCCGTCACTCACACCTCTAAAGTTTCATTGCTTGTCTCATCAGGTATTGCTTCAGGCATTATCCCAAAAGAGTTCATGCCGCAACGAGCCCAAGGTAAAAATAGCTGCCAACCACAGAATCAGACGCGTTTTTAACCCATATCCACAACGCAGGTACCCTCGCTGCGGACAAACAACAACTCTCCACTCCCCTAGCCGTAAGCCGTCTCATGAGCACCCTCACACTGCGATCAAAAATCGCTCAAAACCCAGAGCGATTCGACGCTCTCGAACGAGCGGGCTTCAAGGTCGATCGGGGCGCCGAAGTCGTTGCGCACGTTCATGAACGCTACGGAGGACATTACATGGACGTTGGGAATTGTGCTAATATTGCCAAGGGATTGGTTTGTCACATTACACCAAGTTACATTCTGCTGATAAAGTTTGGATTGCTGATAGGATTTCTTGGAATGTAGGTAAAAGTCAAATCTGATAGTCCTCTCGTCAGATTCACTTCCACGGGACTTCTTTTCGAAGATAATACCCATATCCCTGCCGACGTGGTAGTGTTTGCGACAGGGTATAAGTGGAATGCGAGAGATACGGTCGGGGAGCTTTTCGGAAAGGAGGTGCATGATCGAGTTGAGGATTACTGGGGACTTGATAAGGAGGGTGAGGTTAGAGGGGCATTCAAGCCTAGTCCACGTATGTGGTGCCTCCCCTTTTCTTTGTTTTTCATTCACTCATTCTTTCTTTCTTTCTTCCCCCTTCCCTTCCCTCCCCTCCCCCACCTTTTTTTGTCTTTTTCTTCCCTTTCATTCGCTTCGTTTCTGTTGGGTTTATCAAGTTAACGAGGTGACGATGCAGATGGCCATATCTGGTTCATTTCCGGGACTACGACGCATTCGCGGTACTTTTCCCGGTTCATTGCGCTGCTGATTAAGGCAGATATCATGGGAGTACCCATCGAGGTGTATCGGGGCATACCTGATGCAGATGAGTAGAAGTCAGACGTGGGAAGTAACGGTGTTGCACAATACATCTAGGCAGGTTTGAGGATCAAATAGATCGTTGACTTCAACAATAGTAGTACCTCTACTCTGAAAAACCTAGGTATTTCCGCCCTCTCCCAACAACACTACCTAGTAAGGTTTAAATCTCCCCTTCTCCCTGTTCTTCTTCTCCTTGCGAGAACCCTTTGCAGCCTCTTCTGCCTGGGCAGCCCCCTCTCCTTCAGGCTTCCACGCACGAACGAACCCATCCTCACCGCAAGTGAACACAGAGTGCGACTGTAGTCGTTATTCGTCAGCCCATCCACCCAATCCCATACACCTAGAATCCGAAAGAAGATACATACCTTCTCATCAACAAAAACAGACCGCACAACCTCCTCCCCATGCGCCCCGGGCAACCTCCACACCCCCTCCTGATCGAATCTCCAAGACGGCTCCGAAATGAGGGGAACAAGGTCGAGACGGTTTTCCCTGTAAGATAACTTAATACATCTTTCCAAGCAGGTAAGGGAAACGCAAATTGTCTGTGAAGGGGGAGAAACATACTCCTTATTTCCCGCAGCCATATACGCCCCTTGACCGCCCACACACAGCTGCGCAATATACTCACACCCTAACGGCTGCCGCAGATCGCCGAATTGAATAGGGCTCGGCTCCTGGGTAGGATCGTCGGGATCAGTCGCTGGGTGCACGGAGAATACCTCGTCGTGGCTGAGTGCGTAGATGGTGTTGTTGCTGAGGAAGCCGGCGTGGTGCACGGAACCGTGGTTAATTACTTGTACCAGAGCCTCGTCCTCGTCGGTGATGGTCGTGTTGTAGATGTTGACGAGACCATCGGTGCTTCCAGAGAGGAAGAGGGTGGGGCGTGTGGGGTGGTATTGGAGCTGGGTTGGGTTGTCAGATATTTGAGTGAAACGATGGGATAAGATGGGGTGGGATGGGATGGGGTGCTTGATGAGAAGGTGGGAGGGGTATGAATACCTCTGTTACGTCGTCATTGTGGCTCTCGACGTATTGGAGACTTGTTTGGCCAGGGGATCTTGTGTCCCTGGCGCGTCAGTTAGCAGCTCGTGAATTTTAAGTTGTGGGTGGCTGTGCCCTTGTTGGTGAACAGCCTTAAGGGCCTATGCAGTGAAAGGTCGGTGATTGACTCACCAGAAAGCGACTATGGCTTGGGATGAAACCAGCTCGGTTCCAGCTGCGACTCCATTGACTTCGGGGCAGCAGGCGACGGATAGTATGGGTGCTTGTTTGGCTGTTAGGGAAGATTAGCTGCGGTTCACATAAAAGATGGATGTAGTGAATAGCTGATTGAAGATTACGGGGTGGGGGACAACTTACATGTCTCCATCTCTACAACAGCAGCCTTCTTGCCGCTGCGCAGATCCCACAGCTTTACTTTGCTGTCTCTTCCAGCCGTCGCCAGCACCTGCTGGTTAGCATCATATGTCTTCAGAGATGTGACGCCCTCATGAGCGCTCGCCGCGATGACAGATGCATGGTCGAGCCTGTTAGCGTCGAATACACGAAGCGAATCATCCGATGAGATCACTGCGAATGATTCCGGCGAAGCAGGCGTGATCGCATAGATGTAATGGCCCTCCGCCAGGGAGAGGGAGGAAGATGCAGTGGCTTTGAGCGTATGCATAGTTATGAAGACAAAGACTTCTTGATAGAGGATACTGTCTCAATGGCGCTTCCTGGGGGGTAATTTAGCCTCTAGTATATCATCGATAGACCTGTCTCAAAAGGGGTTCTACTGACAACAGGATATCTATATTGGCCTTTACTAAGAATGAAAACTTTTATTGGCAGAGTGAATCCAATGATCAGAGTACGTGGATGACCCAACCTTGGATATTGCCGTGTCCCCGGTGGCTGAATCTGATGGACTTGTCGCTGCCAAGCCAAGAAGGGATTCCCGCCGAAATTTTTGCGCAAAAGCGATTAATGCCTTACCTAGCGGGCATCAACTCCCTTACCGCACGGAGTGGAACCCAAAAATTTCCCAATACTCACTTTTGATTGGTCTAATGGAGAACATTCATTTCAGGCTTTCTATTGGCTGTCCATACTTTACTTCCCGTTTCTGCAATGCGGGGTGTCGTGGCAGGGTATGAATTAGGATGTGCTCTCATGGCTGGCAATGGACTATAGCTAGAGATCCGGATCTCATGCCCCGAATATTTATCTTTGCTATAAGGATAGTAATAACTATGCATTCAGACACACATTCTGTTCTCATGGTTGTACAATATAGCATTCAGTTTGCATTCGGTAACCTTGGATATATTTTTAGATCATTTCTTTATGATTTCATTACCACTTCATGTTTCACCTCAAAACGGAATCAAATCATTCGCTAAGGACATCGTTTCGAAGACAATATGTAGAGTACTACTCTAAGTACCCAATCCAGCAGTAAACCCCTATATGAAATCGTTTTTGGCCCTTTGCGAGGCACAGCGTGGCACAAACTAACATTGATGGACTATAGCACCTTCGCAATATGTGTACGGTTCAGTGACACTTTTACCACACATCGAGATTTTCGGACAGAAATAGAATACAAAGTAAAAGACACGTCCACAACACCATGATCGGACCTTCCGCTTTGATCACCCCGCACCCTCAGTCATGCAACAACAGCCCTGCTGCATCTGCCGACCCCGATTCCGGAGAAGTATCCGAGATAGCGATAAGGAAGCGGAGATAAGATTGGCAAATGGAGATGCGAGAGATATCCTCGGCGCCAGAAGTAGACCCGATGATAAATAGTGAGAAGGTCCCCTGCCCTTCTCCAGTTAAACCACACTCCAACATGCCAGGTGCACGCTCTATTGTTCTGGCCTTACTGCCAGTTCTTCTCCTGCTTTTTGCCCAGCAACTCGCCTCCCACCCAACCGAGCAGATTCAAGCTATCCTCGCTCCGTTGGTCCCAACAGCACTACAAGATGTCGTGCTCTTCAGTCGACCTCGCGTCATCATTGCACAGGGCACTGTGGTCGGTACCACCTTGACAGACACGCTTAGAACCCCGGTGGACGCTTTTCGGGGAATTCCGTATGCATTGCCTCCAATTGGGGATAGACGGTTCCGCCGCGCGGTGGCTGTCAATGCGTCGGACGACATCATCAATGCTACTGATTTCGGCCCGAGGTAGGCTTCCCCTTTGTATACTATACCAACATCCTGTTTAATCGCTTCTAGGTGCCCCGGGAAGCAACTCTTGAATCCGAAAGACATAGGTGGCGATGAGGACTGTCTCACAGTCAACGTGTTCCGGCCTCATGGTGCCCAGGGAAAGCTCCCAGTTGCTGTATACGTGCACGGAGGCGCCTACAACCGCGGTACTGGTAAGTGCAAATTCCTTCAAAAACCTCCTTAATGCATCGCTAAATACCCAGCCTCCGGACACAACACGGCCTCGATGGTCGGCTGGTCTGACGAGCCCTTTATTGCAGTCAGCTTCAACTACCGGTACGTATATAAACCGTTCCCCAATCCAAACCGACCACAACTAACAAACTATCAGCATCGGCGCCCTCGGCTTTCTTCCCTCGACCCTAACCGCCAAAGAAGGCATCCTCAACCTAGGCCTGCACGACCAGATCCTTCTACTCCAATGGGTCCAAGACAACATCGCGCATTTCAACGGCGACCCAACCCAAGTCACTCTAATTGGCCTCTCCGCCGGCGCCCACTCCGTAAAACACCCATCCCCCCTTCCATCAGCCCTCCACAACCTCTCCCTAACTAATACCTTACCTCCCAGATTGCCCACCACATCATGAACCACACCCCCAACCAAAATACCACCCCTCTCTTCCACCGCGCCATCATTGAATCTGGCGCTGCCACCTCCCGCGCCGTGCACCCGTACAATGCCTCCCTCCACGAAATCCAATTCGCCGACTTCCTCACCTCAACCGGCTGCACCAACCTCCCCAACGACACAGAAATCCTTCCCTGTCTCCGCGCCCTTCCATCCAAAACCATAACATCCGCCTCCATCGCTGTCTTCGACAAATACAACCCGTCTATCCGGTGGGCCTTCCAGCCCGTCATCGACCACGAGATCATCCACCGCCGGCCCATCGACGCATGGCGCTCAGGCCAGTGGAACAGAATGCCGATCCTGACAGGATTCAACACAAACGAAGGAACCTACTACGTCCCTCGTAATCTATCCCTCTCGGAGGACTTCACCTCATTCTTCCGAACCCTTCTCCCCGCATACCCCGAGAGTGACATACAACTCATCGATGAGATATACCCCGATCCAAATATCTACGCCTCGGCATCGCCATATCTAGAGACGAGACCGATCGCGGAGCTAGGAAGGCAATACAAGCGCCTCGAAGCGGCGTATGGACATTACGCGTACGCGTGTCCTGTCCGGCAGACGGCGGGGTTCGCTTCTGCTGATACTACTGCTAATCAGCCGGTGTTTTTGTATCGCTGGGCATTGAATAAAACCGTCATTGGGGGCGCGAACCACGGGGATCAGATGGAGTATGAAACGTTTAATCCGGGGGTGCGGGGAATATCGGAGGCTCAGAGGGAGGTGGCGGGTTTGTTCCACGCATATTTGACTTCATTTGTGGTGTACGGGGATCCGAACGTTCTGGGGGGCAGGTATGAGGGGAGGGAGGTGTGGGAGAGGTATAGTGCGGATTCCGGGGAGGGCCTAGGGGTTGGGAAGGTGATGGTATTTGGGGAAGGGAATGATGAGCGGGCTGGCGGGGATGGGGTTGGGGTTGCGGCGGGGCTGAGGAGGGATGAGTGGGGAGTGAGGGAGTGTGCGTTTTGGGCCGCGAGGAGTGGGATTTCGGAGTGAGGGCTTATTTAATTATAGCCACGACGTGATGTAGATGAGAATGTAGGAGTAATTTGAAATAGAGGATCGGTGTACTCGTATATGTACACTGAACCCTCTGAAGATACCACTGAAAGCATACATATTATTCAATTCGTCGAGATCGTTACTCGTATCTGCTATATCACAATCGCTGTTGTAGCGCATGCTGAATTCAAACGCATTCAACGATATTATGAAGCCATACTCAAAAAAGCCAGCCGGAGCGTACGGTCATTCAGCTCGAATGACAGGCACAATCCCGCTTGCCCCAGCTGGCGGCAAAGAAACAGAAAATTACCATAGTACAATCCGTCGTAACTCATCAAACATCCGAAATATACATTGAATATAATCAACCACGATGGTTAATGCCCCCCATACATGTCTTGATAGGTGGAATACCCTCCCGGCCCCGGAGCCTGGCCCCAGCCCGACATCTGCATGCGCAGTCGGCGATCTATATCAAGCTGTTAGTTCTGGTCATCATGCACATTGGAGTTGACTCACCCTTTTCAAAGTCTCGCCACCGCTTCATTGTAATCTTGCTGCTGTCAAACTCTCCCTCCCCTGCTTCGTGCCCCTTGTCCTTCCCTTCGGACGTCTGCCGCGTGTCGCCCCAGCTGAAGTCGTCGAACTTCCAGTACGAGTACGTCGGTAGTACAAAGTTCCATACTGGCAAGGATAGCAAATATATAAGCATCCACAGCACATACACAAACTTGTGCGCCGTCACAACAATCAACACTCCTGGCAATCCCAGGATCAGAGCAAGCAGTACCAGTGGAATCACTTGTACTGGCTTGTGCACGATCGAGTTTATGACCACGTAAAAGGTAAATGCAATGGCTGCCGGAAGCACGAGCGTGCCAATCAACTCAATGAAGATGCAGAACTGCATACTGAAGCAAAACGTCCCGCACAAGTCTCGTACTAGGACCAGCTCCATCAAGTTGTGCACGGTACTGTTGATCCAGCGTCGTCGTTGTGAAAGTAGAACCATGAATTTGTCCGGCACCTGCGTCTTGCAGACAGCCTGAGGCACAAAAATCTGCTTCCGCTTAGGAAAGGTACGTAGCATCAGTGTCGATAAATACCGATCTTCACCCAGCAGAAGCAGATTCTTCTTGTGCAGCGTATCGACAACATTTTCCGAGTAATGCTCCACCACATCAGGACTCGCCAGAATCGGAACCCAATAGTTCTGACCACCCTTTGGTGCTTTGATCCGATACATTGAGAAGCACCCGGGAAGACAGGTAACACCACCAAACACCGATTCAAACGCCTTGGCTTGGTGATGCGAGATGAAATACCTGCATGCATTAGTACTGCCGCAAGACAAAGATGGAGGATACATACTCAAATACTTGGATCATCGTCACCCAGCTGTCTGTCTTATTGGCAATCTTCGTTTCACCACATAGTCCCATTACCTCCGGATCCTTGACCATCGCGGCAATCATATGGGTCAAACTGTCGGGGAACACCTTGGTGTCGGCATCGACCATGAGAATAACTTCATAGAAATCAGGAGAGATGCCGGTAACCTGCCATAAGCCGTTGAACATTTCGTATTCAAGTTCTGTCATCCGTTCGTCGAACATGACCTTTTGGAGGAAGGACATCAGAATGATCTGACTGTCTCGCTTGCCCCGATTTCCCGGCTTCGACTTGTTCGCTTCAGATGGAGTGCCGCTTTTTACAATTACCATCATCGGGACGCGCTGCTGTTTTTCCTCTGGGATAACAGAGTCCACGCCGTAATCATAAAATCCGGCATACACCTTTGCCATGTTGTGACGCTTCGATCCGGTGGCAACGGCAACATAAGAGAATGATTTCACTTCGTCCTTGGGGATAATGGGATCTTTCATCATTCCTAGGACAATCTCTGGGGTGGAAAACTCCTCGCCCTTTCCTTTGATCATTCCATCGCAGATCACGAGGATAGTCTTATGGCTGTTCGGATAATCGGTCATGGCGATAGAGTCCAATGTAGTGCGAATGCCCTCTTCACCTTCCGAGTAACAGGTAACCAGGCAGAGTGAGTGGGCGAGAGGAAACCCGTAGGGTTGCCATTCCGGCGGTGGCTGCGGGATCACACCCTCGTGGACGTACCCGCCCATCCCTGGAGCTTCTGATTCGAGCATGGCAGTTGAGTAACGTGAGTCCTGTCCGGGAAGGGCCAGACTTGATCGACTGGCTGATCCATTGTGGCGTGAGCCATCGGGACCGATACTCCCCCCGCTGCTGTTGTGGCTTTGCTTGTACATCGAATTGGTGGCACCTGGCACTAGACGTGTCGTTGAATTTTGGCTCGCCATCGTGACGTACTGGTATTTCTGCTTGCCTCCGTTGCTCACGGTGTACGGACTGGAGAAGCGAGAGGTAGTCGGCAGGAAGCTTGCCCGTTTGGTGCCTCTTTCCACCATACTGTGATCCGTCATGCGCGGACCAGGCCGATAAATATCGTTGGCCCAGTCCTCGATTTGCTGGTTCCGTGTCTTGGAGTCGGAGCCCATACTCGTCCTGGGAGCAGCGTAGCGAGCGGAGATAAACCACTGGAAGAGCAGAGCGAAAATGAACTTTACCACAACAATGGACAATATGAAAATCAACGAGACGTATAGGACAACCTTCGAGGCGATACATCCAACCGTATCAGTGTCGATACTGCCGACCTTAATGATCTGCGACAGACACTGGCCGATCCTCTTTTCCTGGCCCGTTTGCAGATAGTACGTGAGGTCGACCCCACGAACCTTGGAATTCTCGCGGAGCTCGTCGAATTTCGACGGCCAGTTCACCTGAGATGCGTTAAACCATTCTAAAAGATCCAGATCGAGCACGTCGCCATCGTAAACGGCAAGGTTTCGGCTCGTATTTTTGGTGTCATCCCACGTGAAGTACACGTCTCCGGCGCTCTTCAAGTTATAAAAGGCTTTTCGAGCCGTCCCTGAAGTATGACAGGCCCAGCCAAGGTAGTAATCCACCGTCTTGTTCGGTTTGGACGACCCATCTTGATTGAAAGCGTGACAGGGAAAGTACCAGGCGAGGTCGCCGGCTGAATTGGTAGGCACATCCGATCCATCGGCAAGGGTGATTAGATTCTTGCACGCCCCATTGACTTCTTGAAAGAAGAAACTTCCGTCCTGTCCTCCGTACTTGTGGGGCAGGTCCCAGAGGACATTGGAACCGGCAGGGATGCCAGCGGCGGCCAGGTGGGTGGAGTGGGATAGATCGTATGCCTTGCCGTGGAAGATCATGTAGTTGCTACTGACTTCATTAATCCTCAGGCGTGTGGGAGGGGTTCCGCACACGGTCGCTGTGAATCCGAACGTCAGAAAACCGACGAATGCTCCGACGAGTAGGATGAGGCTGATGAGGCCAATCTTCTCGCGCCAGGCACTCCGCTGAGCTTTTTTAGGCATTCCAAAGCACTTCAAGATGAAGTCGGGAGCCCAAAAGGTAATAATCGCGCAGTATGTTGTCCACGGGCTGGGTGGCCGCACTTGCTCCAAGGCCTCCTGGCGCTTCCTCTCCGCTGCCGCTGCTCTCCGGGTAATCTTGCGTGATGATCGCCGTTTCTTTATGCGACGTCGTTTTGGAAGTCGTTCTAGAGGCTGGTTGATATTCCCCTCCGTCACATACACCCTATCCTTTCCTTTGTAGTCCATGCTCTGCGAGCTGTTTGTTTCCGCCTCCCCGTCTGCTCCCATTAGGGGCTCATCTCCGGTCGTCGATGGCTGCGTGGGCATATTCTGAGATTTCTGGCGATAATGATAGTGCGGATGGTTTTGGTCGACCCGACTGCGTTCCGGCTTCGATAGAGTCTTCTTGTGCCTGGATTCCGCACCTACTTCTCCTCTCTCTTCGTCCACGTCGTCGCGTCTTCGGGAGCTGCGTGAGCGGTGATGGCGATGGTGTCGGTGCCCTGCTGGGGATTCGGCTGATGAATCATGGTAGCGGCCGCTCTCGTGAGTGCGATGCCGTCGGCGGGAGGACTCCCGAAAAGAGGAGTAGGTATCTTCTCGTCGCGGGGAGGCTTTCCCCGGACGCTGAGGTAGAGACATAGCCTGCAGGACGGGGTTGTCTCAAGTTAGCAATGGTGTCTTTGCGCAGGCAATAGTTGTATTTTCTAGACTCGGTAATCCATCTCATGAAATGCTCGATGCAACCGATGTATAGACGATCGCACTAAGGTGAGGCGACTCACCTTTTTCTATCGCATAGGCAAGTAGGGGGTGGGCGGAATGATCGGGCAGTGAGTGGACTAGAACGCTGTGATTCAAGCGACTGAACGATTGACGGTGGTAGAGTGAAGGGTGAGAATAACGGTTGAACAGCCTCGTATAATTGCGCGCAGCTGAGTGGCCGGTTCCTGAAAACGCTCCCACAACCGCAGAGAAGAAGCGAATGCGAACAGGGAGATCCCAGTGCGGTAGATGAGCAAGATGCGAAGAAGCGCTAGCTACCAACCCCCCTGCCAAGGCGTGATGTGGATGGTTTTAGTAGCGCACAAAGGATAAATGAGGGTGCGATGGATGAGATAGGAAAGGAAGGGGAAATAGTGCGGGCGCGAGTGGTCAAAGAGAGGATACTAATACTAGTCGAGCGGCGGAGATGGACCCGGACCCGGCCTGGGATGGTTCGAAGGTGCACTAAGCGTCTCTAACACCCAATAGTAATGCCACCTTAACTTGATTAGTCGGAGCCGGGGAAGTTCTTTCGATGACTAGATAGGAATAGGCGTGGATGCGACGATGGCTGATCAACGGGGGCTCTCCAGTTCGAGGATCTGCACCGGAACTAGAGGGTCAAGGGGGGGGGAGGGGGAGGAAGTCGTGGTGCTAGGCCGGGCAATGGGTTGGAAAGCGGACTGGAAAGAGACAGAAGAGAAAAAGAAGAAAGAGTCAATGCTGGACAGATGATGAGGGGGGAACCGATGCTGAAACTGGGACTATCACGGGGTGTGGCTGCTTATCGTCGCCAAGACCCCAGCAAGTGTTAGTCTATGTCCGGGGGAGGCAGGAATGCAGAGTCCGATCGGTATGTGAAACTGAATCGTGCTGTCAGTGAGTGCATGAAGTGATCTAGATGATGGCAATCTAGTACATAGTGTGACCAAGAATGTATTCCGTACCCTTCACTGCTTGGAAGCAATCACGCAGAAGAAAGCCTGGGGTAAATGACGAGGGGGCTCGGGCGTGTACACAAATAATTGCCCGCCCACGGGACAGCGTCGCTAGGGGCAATCAGCTTGTTAGTCAACTCACTAGACTACTAGTCAGAGTGCAGACTGGTCTGGCCCGGACCCTGACTAGCTGCTTTGGGGTTAGTGCCAGTCCGGACTCCGAGACATGCCTATTTGCCTATTGCCTACGTAGGAAAATTCCCCTAATTCTCCTCTCCACATGATGCAATCATTTCACTTTCTTTCTTTCTTTCTTACTCCGATCAAATAGCTCTCACTACTCCGGGGTTATCTTGCAGTTCATATAAATAAAAGCTCGAGGGTTACAGATATAGGTTGCATATATATCCCTCTACTAAAAAGCAATTAGCAGAATATGGGAATAGTGTTTATGTCTTCAAAAATCAGATATCTATTAATAGCAGTATGTGATGTTGTTGTAACTTTTGCACTTGCAGCCCAATGTGACCTGAAAATAACTCAAAATGTTCCAAGGTGTGCTGTAAGCCTCGGTTCCTGACTTGCTAGGTTCTAAATGGCTGACCCTCCAGCTCGGTGAATCATTTTTGCGCCCCGCGATTGTCGGTGGACCGTTGTTATCGGCATCGTGCAGGTAACCGCCGTGAAGTATTAACATAATAAACCTATACTTTATCATGAACCATACGTAGTAAGCCACAAAAGCCCATAACGGTAATACGCTGCAACTATCCAGAGTACCTGTATAGGTACAAGTGATAATTTACAAAAGCGGTTTAGATAATTTCAAACAGGATATATCACAGTCTAAACGACAGGCATTACGAACTTTATCTAATGATTCCACTATGAATACGTCACGGACACAGGCTTAATTAGTATAGCTTAATGCTGATGGTGAGTAAGTGCAATGTTCTACAAATGAAAGCTCTGCCTGTCAGTCTCCAGCAATTATGAGGCTTTGGACGTAGGAGGGATGACCCATATGGTGGTTGTTATTTCTTTTGTTTTCTATTTAGGTACCTACGATGAGGCTCAAGCGGTGTTAATGTTATTTACTATGCATCTTTAACGTTGGGACACATATCTTTCCGTCGCCTGGCTAACTACTAGACGTGATATACTGATTTTGGTCGAGTGGTTAGTGCGTCGACAGACCTTCATGATGAATACTATGCCTTCATGAATATAGCTCACAAAAAATCTATGTTCCACGCCTGAAGACTCAAATATATGTAATGGGCGTAAAAGTTTAGCCCCATAACTGGTCAACAACGCAAGGCATGCCGGTGAATATGGTATAAGTCCAGCCCTGTGACGGCAACCCAACCATTCGCACCTTCCTACCTAGTATGGTTGAACCATCATGCAGCTAGCGTATATACCCCTCCTCCTCCTCCTCCTCCTCCTCCTTCATCCTCCTCTCATTCTCTACCATCATAGTCATCATCATCGCCATATTAGCCTCTCCGTGTGATTATTCCCACAATACATGACTTCTAACCCTCTGTGTAGTTCAATAGAGGACACAAGAAGCAGGATAACATCATCCAATGCTGACACAATCTGGATAGTAACTCCATAACATTTTCTGGCTCAGCCCTCAATCTATGCGCAACTAAGCTACTGACCTCATATTGCAACAACAGCGCAGTTATATCATATCATTATACAGTCTAAACCTCCCTCTCCCAACACCCGCCTCCACACCAACTGCAACCCATTAACATACCTTGCCCCCAGAATCGTCGCATGCTTCCCCTCGCACTGATGTACCATCATATCTTTCCTCGGTAATAATTTCCACTGTTAATACCTCTTCACCTACAGCATTCGATCATTCGTAACCGTCAGCAACGGTCCACCACAAATACATCCACGGAAAGATTCAGTTTCATACGGACTGCGAATCTGAGACTTCAATTACAGTTTCTACAGAAATGGTTCATGGAAAATACCATATTGATTGACCAATAGGATATACAATTATACACACTGTAACACGGCCTGCTACTACGGGTGTTACTTTGAAGTACTATAGTTTGGCCCCCACTAACAGGCTTGATCAGTGTCTGTAGCTTACACACTAACCACTTAACTGATGACTGCTACTCGAAATATTCAGGGTACATGGTAACTACATTCAAAAAGATATGAGAAGGTGGGGGTCTGGAGTTGTCCCACTGAAGGCTTACTGCTGTAGATTTCGTGCAAGAATATGCTTTGATTGCTTTTTCCTTCTTTGTCCATTTTCTGCTTCCTTCCCGTTATGGTTCAACGAGCAAAAACAGACCAAACGTTATCGATCTACCCTACAACGAACCTCAGTTTTCCTGCGCCAGCAATTCACAAAACGCATAAAACGCCTCTTCGAACTCGTTACTTTCTGACACCCTCTCCACCTCGCGTTCGTACTCGAATGGCTCCAGCGCCTGACCGTTCACGATGGGAAACAGGCGCATGTCCAGTCCTCGAAACACGACCACGCCCCCCAAGCGGTCCGCGGGCAGGTCAGGGTTGGCCTCGAGCTCCACCCGCCATTGGGCCTCAGCACAAGCAGGAGCTAAGTCCCAGTCGCCGTTCCAATCGGGTGCGTTGAGGTCGGCGTAGGACATGGGGACGCCGCGGTTGTCGTTGTCGCCGTGGCCGTTGACGAGGCCGTTGAGGTAGGGAATGGACATGGTGCTGATTGTTTCTGGGGGTGGTAAATAGTGGGCTGAGGGTTTAGCTGTAAATGAAACAGTAACAGTGAGGATTGAAGTGACGGTGGAGCAATCTTTGGAAGGAGTGCAATAGTGGTATATATAAAGAATCCTGTCGAGGTGGAATGCTTTTGTGGATTGGGCTTTGAGGATGGATCCGGCTTTCTGATGGTGCTCAAAATAGGATTGACAGTTGGGTCTTTTGAAAAAATAATCAAATACAGGAGATGGCCCCAAACATAGTGTGATTCTCGGAGACGTTGATACAGATACTTCAATCTACTGGAGAACTTCGAACAGGAATCAAGGATATTATCATGCAGAGGTTACTGGTACTGCAGGAATAATCCACTGGCTAGCAATCTCGACAAACTGTATATGCACCATGCAGCACCTAAGAATTGTTTGTCATGTCTGGTATTTTGAATAGAATAATAGTTTTGAGTGCATCATTTTACTTATTCGGCTGCTTCCACATATATGAGGTTTTCTAATCGTCATCTTATCTGCTTCTGGCCAGGGAAGTTCCTCGTCTTTGGAGCTATGGGTTATTTATTTTGGCTACTGGACTTGGTATACTAGTACCCTTTCCTGCAACTCGTGTCAGTAACCTGAATTATAATTTCTAAAGCTTATAGATAGGCCCGTTCGTGTAGGATGGAGTATCGTTCTGCCTTACTCTGTCCATAGATCTGTTATTCCCTAAGGTATGAGATAAGGGATCTCCTAGCATGATCATATTTTCATCATGCAAGTCTGATCAACTATCTGATTTACGAAGCATGGTGTATGTCAAATGTTTTAACTCTGGAATCGTTCGGGGGTCTCAGAGGTTTTACTCATAGTCCAGAATTTTATCCTGCTCCTTGAAGTTGCTGTTTTCACTGAAGTAGTGCAATACTCTACTGGTCTCAGGGCTATATTGCGCAAAACCCGCTTCGATATCGAGCTATGCTCGTCCAGATTGTGCCATACCGCTGCAGGCATTGGATGGGCGATGTCATGAACGCGTTGCAATACTCCTGGCCATTGTATGATACTTGATCCTGGTCTGACTGCTGCCATATGTCAGTATCAAGAGCTATAAATACTTTTTTCTTTTCATTACTTTGGAGCCCATACTCATCTCTGCCATCCCCATCCACATACTGAATATCATATATGGATCTCACCACCAACCAAATAATTAAGTTGAGTACCGGTAGCCAGTTATGCCAGTGAGCGGTTGTGCGCGGCAGAAACTCACAGTGAGTTACACAAAGGAAAGAGTAAGCGAACGTAATGGACCTGGAGGGTTGCGTGAACCAACAAGAAGACAACCCACTTGCTGGAGCACGACAGCCAGCGCATACCAACTCAGTTCTGATAATTTATGACTTCAAGTCGTTACTGGTACATCGACTCTTTTACTTCGGACATACATGATCAACTCTCCGACATACATTCAGATTCTTAGCTACCAGCCCACTTCAGGAAGAACACATTAATCAGACCGTGGCAGTATTAATTAAAACACGTCAGGCTTTACCTGAAGATACCACCGCTCATTATGTTTGGCACCAAAGGCTGGAATAGCCTTGTTTGGTGTGCGCTGGTGACGACTTATACAAGTTCTGCGATTGTGGGATTATGTTTTGCGAACGGGTTTCAGGAGCCCCTTGAATCTCATAAAAACTCAGTCTTGGAATGGGAGAGCTGTGGCGAAGCTAACAACCATACACTTCAATGTAAGTATGCATATGTTTTGTGGCATTTCTTGAGCCGCGTTGACGCGACGCGGAGGTTCCCGACTGGAAGTGCCCGTGAACCATCTCAGCCAATCGTCCGACAAGACTTTCTCGTTACCGATCATAAGAATGCTAGCGAAAAATGCATCCGCTACTGGAGATAGGCATATTTTCTTAAACCCCGGGGGACCTGGAGGTATGTTAAGGCTTTAAATGGAATGGAGCTTTCTGACGTGCTTAAGCTAGCGGAATGGGGTTCTTGCGCGGATCTGCATCCGATTTGAACAAACTCGTTGGGGAAGGCTTCCACTTACTGAGTTTCGACCCTCGTGGTATCAGTGGATCGATACCGAAAGCTGTTTGCTACCCAAACAGTGGCGAACGGACTACCGCGTTTGCAAGCAACCCTTGGAATCTTAAGTACCAAGCTGGTGAGATGTACACTAGGGCGGAGAATAAAGCAAAGGCCTGTCGAGATATGATGGGTGAGCACGGGGAATACATTAACACCCCCCAAACCGCATACGATATGAATTCAATTCTCGATGCGATTGGACAGAAAAATATGTACTACTGGGGACTTAGTTGTATATTCACTCAATTCAGCTAGCGAGGTGATTCACTAACAGGAGAACAGATGGAACTACACTCGGTCAAACATATGCGCAGATGTTTCCAGAGCGAATCTCTCGAATGGTACTTGATGGAGTTAGCAACTTAGATCAGTGGTACAATTCTTTCTTTCTGGAAGAGTCGTTGACCGACACAGACAAAATCTACACCGGCTTTCTCAAGGAATGTTTCGAAGCCAAAGAAGATTGTCCGCTGCAATCAATCAAGGGAGAACATTTCAAGTCGGCTGGCCAGCTCCAGTCCTATTTCGATGGCTTCTTACGGGAACTCGAAGACGAACCAGTTCCCGTTTACTTAAACAGCACGGATTACGGAGCCATCACCCGTCGAACTATAGTTAGCAATGGAATACTCATGGCCCTATACAAGCCAAAGTCTTGGCCTCTACTTGCAAAGAATTTGGCTGAGCTGCTCAACGGCAACACCACACCTGCTTATAACGCATACTCTGAATCATGGCTTCTCAAGTATCTCGTGGATGACTCAACTATCTTCATTGGATTAAATGATAATCGAAAGACTGGACAAGATGCCCCAGTTCATGGTGTTAAGCCAGTCTACAACCATACTATATCCAGACCGGAGTTGTCATTCTTGGTATCGCGTTATCAAGGATCTGATATCTACGATCGAGCATCGTGGTCGATCCCAACAACGCACAACTTTCGTCCTCAGTACTACCCCGAATATCCACGGATCAGAACAGCAGAGCCAATACTAATATTGTCGACTACGTGGGACCCTGTGTGTCCATTGATATCTGCAAAGAAAGCTCATAATAGCTTCGAAGGAGCTCGTCTCGTGGAGCAGCTATCGTACGGCCACTGTAGCCTTAGCATGCCTTCCCTGTGTACTGTGAGCTATCTGAGGCACTATTTCAATGAGGGGATACTCCCCGAAGTCGGAGCAACGTAGGTTATCACTACCCTTTCCTTACTTGGCAATTTCGTACTAGCCCAGTAACAGGTGTGGCATTGATACCGAGTATTTCCCCTCTGCCGGGGGGTCTGCGGTGTCTACACTAAGTGTGAAAGATGAGGATTTACTCAGAAGTCTTCATGCACTGGCAGCAAACGACATCTTCTCGGTTAGATACCAAATGTAGGGCCCTTGGCTCTAAACGATGACACACAGCTCAGGAAACCACTATAATATAGTGAACAACCATATCATAATCATTTACTTCCATAACAACCGCAGTGGCCGTAAAAGGGAAAGTAGCTTATGGGGCATGGCTCTATATTTGGGGTTGGGTCTAACTAATTTTCTCGAGAGATTAAAGTTCCAAATAGGTTCGTGCCACCCATGTCTTCGTGAAATTCATGAGTTCTTCCCAGTTCTTACACTGATGTGCGGTTCCGAAACCCTTTACCCCCCTGATGGTTTCATTCTTGACTTCGACGGTTAGATCTGGTTGGCACATTAAGGCCTGCCGGATGAGGTCTATACAATGCCCGAAATGACGAGGGTCGGCCATTTGGGGCATCGTATCGTCTTTGATTATCCTTTGCTCATTCATCGCGTCATATAAGATCCAATATGCCTCCCTAATTCCATTCTTTGAGCATCTATGTCAGTACTTCGTTTTGATGCCGTATACTGGGGACATACAAGACAATGCAATTGATGGAAAACTGCGAAAACAGATTCCTCTGGCGCAATATTAGGATGCTTGAAAAATCCACCATGGCGGGGAATAAGATCATGCCACGCTTCTGCAGCTTCCTTTGAATTTGTCGAAAATGTTTCATTGCGGCTGAAGATGATCGATAGATTGTGCACTTTTGATTTGTCACCCCTGAAGTGTGGATACCATGTGTTCCGAAAACTCACAATAAAATTCCTCGTTATCGTGGACGCGGAGAGAGCTTTGACCAGCCAAAACACCAAGACTTCCTGCCACAAAAAGCGCAGCTACCAGAGCAACTGACTGAAACAACCTACTCTTCAAAGAGTACTGGAATTGTTTCTCAGAATTCTCTGCACAAGTGACAGCAGAATAGCGACATGTGTAGGTGCCAGACATTTGTAAATCTAGTTATATAAGTTTAACCTGAGAAATCTATAGAGAATCGCAGGCTGGTGAGGTCTGGCACTAGTACCGCCGTTAAGAAGAGGTACTTTTAGCGGGAGGCTGTCCGTTCATATCTTGCTGATCACACATCAAGAAAACATTCCGCCTATCTGTATTTGACAAGACTCTCGGGTAAGGCCCACAACCCAAGTACGCCAGCGCGTCTCAATCAGTCAATCCGCCTGAATAATGGCCCCGAGTACGTACACCAAAACAAATGCCCGCTTGGAAATCTCCACCACCTGATCTCAGCGACGCTTTCTGACTGCCACCGCCCCGCACTTGTACAGTATCGACTAACATGAGCCTTGGCGCTTACTGCGACATGCATTGACTCGACTACAATGAGGCCTAAATCCCTCGAAACTGCATTCAGTGCGGAAGGTCACCCTTGGGCAATTCCAATGCAAATTTTTGGATTTGTCCTGTCGATTACGCTAATCATGTAACCCTGATGACTGTATCGATCCTAACCCGACCGGCCTTCCTGCAAGGTGACCCAGCTGTGATGAGCGATACTGCGTCACATAGCAAGATCGCCGCTT